CCCCAAAACCCCAAAACCCCAAAACCCCAAAACCCCGAGTGATGAATAAAGAATTGAGATTGAAGAATTTATTATTTTATCGCTTTTACTTCAGAATTTGGATAGAATCCTCTGATTGTCTGCATAAAATTGCCCTCATCAACTATATCGACTTTGTAGCATGATAAAACCCCATTTTAAATTTTGCACTTAGATCAATATTATTAAAAAAATATGTGAAATTTTCAATAAAACATCCTTAAGCTCGGATTCGAGCGTTGCCCTTGACTCTGACTATATCCAAAGGTATCTAGATTTTGCAAAAATCCAAAAAGCGATTCTATGATTCTCTGGGAAGAGCTTCTCAAAAAGAGGATGGTGTATGATCCAAGCATTTCACAAAAATCCAAAAGGACAATGCTATATTTTCATACCGAATAAGATAAACTATAGATACTATGCTGTAAATTCTATAATAGCCTCATTTAGGAACTTTCATTGTGGTCTGGTGATAACTTGGATTCACAAATTTTTTAATTCAATGACTTCCTTTAGAATGGGTTTTAGTAAAGCTTAGAAATTAAAAAAAAGTAAAATGCTACAGCTAATGGATTCATTCAGTTTTTGTATAATTAGGATTACCTTGGAAGCTAAATCTAACTATCAGAATTTCCTTGGTTAAAGTCTTTCTTTTGCTGATGTCAAAAATTGGGACCTTGAAAGAAGACTTGCTCTTCCCTATGATTTTACAATCTCAAAATATTTGTCTCTTGACCCTTCCTAGTGATAGCACGATTCTAAAAAATTGATTCTGTGTCATTGAAAAATTGCATAAATCAAGGCTGTTCATTTTGGCAGATATTCTAGTGATAATGGGAAATAACCAGCTCAGTCTGTCATCCTTAGATCTCCCTGGATAAATCTGGGCTTTATGCAACCGATGTTTCAAAGGAGCAAAATATTCAGTGATGTCCTTCTTCTGTTTTCTATTGTCTTTGTAAAAGGTAATATCTTCTATTTCAGGAAGAAGCAAGCCTTTAAATTTAGAAAAATACAATTTCGGATTATGAACTTGATTATAAAGGTGGTAATAATGGGATTTCCAAGAATCAACAAGTGAGTAAACCTTTGAGTAACCATTAATCAAAGCTACTTCACCAATAGTGTTCTCACAGCTGAGCATACTTTCTTCAGCTCTACCTCCTGTAATCGAACACTTAGAGTCCAAAGCAAGCTTGGTTTTATTTCCTCCAATCACGAAGAGAGCGCGAGATTAGGCTTCTGGAATCTTTCTCAAAGGATTGGTATGCGTGTAGATTACAATACTGCTGACCTGGGTAGATTTGGGCCTGGCATATTGGGCATTCAAGGTACACTTCCATTCTCACAGAAATTAATAATTTATCAACTTATTTTAGCATTTTGGGGTTTTGGGGTTTTGGGGTTTTGGGGTTTTGGGG